TATTTAAAAATTTAAAAAAGAGCCCTGGCCAGGTAGTTCAGTTGGGTAGCGCGTCATCCTGATACACCAAGGTTGCAGGTTCCACCCCAGCTCAGGGCACATACAGGCAGCAACCAGTGACTGCATAAATTGGGTGGAACAAACCAATGTTTCTCTTTCCCGCTCCTCTCTCTCTCTAAAATCAATAAGTAAAAAGCAAAGATAGATGTAGGGGGAAAAAAGGCATCTTTTGTCATAACAATGCGTTTAAGAAATTCTAGACCAAGGCAGATTTGAAAATTAGCAGACTCTAGACATTCTTGTAACAAGATAACCAGACTGGTCTAAAACAGATGACTGTAAGACGATATTCATGTCTGACCAAAAGTTGGAAAGAAAATGATTCTCCCTGTACTACGCTGCCTACCATCTACTTCTTACTGGGGTTTTGGAATGGAAGGAAGGTAGCTTTCAGATGTGTTTGATAGGTTTTTAAGATGTTCTAAATTCAGTTACTTTGAAATAACTGAATCTTTGCTTAGAGCTTTAAAAATAAAAAAGCCTTAGCAACATCCAGTGAAAAATTTAACCTAGTATCAACCTACAGCTAAATGAGAAAATGGACAAAAATATTCCTAAAGCGGAAGGAAAGGGCCTATCACATCAGGGACGCGTGAACGCCACGCTCCAATCCCAGGCGGCCTCGGCTCGATGGAAAGGCTGAGCCCCTGCGCCAGCCTGACCCTCAGGCAGGGGAAGTGCCACAGTCTCAGGGTTTCCGCCTTGAGCCTGCGCGATCTCCACTGGTACCAGATGTCACTTTTGAGGGTTGTTTTCCGAACCGTGCAAGAACACAGCATTGCATAAACCATACTCACCACTCTTGAATCTGTATCGCTGAAGCTCTCTATTTTATTATCATCAATATCCTATATTTCGTTTATAAAAAGACACAACATTTCTTCAAGTGCCTGTGCCTTTACCAAATCGAGGCCATAGAAAAGACAAGGTCTGCCTGTGTGGCTCAGCTGGTTAGGTGGCATCCAGCAAAGCGAAAGGTCGCAGGTTTGATTCCCATGATTCCCAGTCAGGGAACATGACTGGTTTGAGGGTTTGGTCCCTGGTCGGAGCACCTACAAGAGGCAACTGATCAATGTTTCTCTCTCCCATTGATGTTTCTCTCCCTCTCTTTTTCCCTCCCTTTCCCCCTCTCTAAAAATAAATATATGAAATATTTAAAAAAGAAAAAGAAAAAAAAAAGCAAGGTCTGTTTTTAAAAACATAATGATCTAAAACCTCAATCAGAATATGTGAGAAACAGACTCTGGGTGATTTTCCAGGATAATTTCCTATTTTGTTTCAGCTCTCATATATGAAAACCTGCCCTGGCTGGTGTGGCTCAGTGGATTGAGTGCTGGCCTGCAAACCAAAAGGTTGCCGGTTCAATTCCTAATCAGGGCACATGCCCAGGCTGTGGGCCAGGCCCCTAGTTGGGGGCATGCAAGAGGCAACCAACAGATATGTCTCTCGCACATCGATGTTTCTCGCTCTTATTCTCCCTCCTTTCTCCTCTCTCTAAAAATAAATAAAAATTTTTAATTTTTTAAAAAAAATAATAAAAACCTTATCCAAAAAATTACAATTTCTTGTCTTAGAAAGCAATACTGAAAATATTTCAATCTTTTTTTGGTCTTAAAATTTTAACATCCCACAGGTTCTTCATTTTAAACATTAAAAGTGGGTTTAATAAACTTAACCAAGTCCCAAAAGCAGTTCATGGAATTACAGGATTTTCTCATTTCAATGCAAAAATATTGCCATCATATTTCATTAAAATTTCACTTGTTGTCCATATTCCTCATATCTAAAACTGAAATTTGTTTTTGCTTAAAAATAAATAGCATCAACACAGATAAAGCATACAAACTCCTAAAACTTCCTTTTGAAAATGAATTCCTATGAAACTGCTTGGTTTTATGCTTCTTCTCCTAAAGGTAGAATTTAGCTAGTAGATAGACTCTATTTAACTGAAGATTCCAATTAATCAGTTATAGCTCTTAAATCAGAATACATTCAGAATTATTATTTTATTATTTCTTCAGCTGTTACAGGCCTCCTGTATGAAATAAATGTCATTTACTTTAACAATAAAAATGTTAGATTGCGCATAATATTGAAGTCTGTATTAAAATGACTTTTCTCCTCAAAGTTGCTTCTGAAGAAAAAGGTAACGAATTAAGAAACCACTTTCTAAAAGGCTGAGAATTACAGTTCTTTTCAAAACGGACTCAAGTGGTAGCCACAAAGTTACAGCCTTCAAAAGCTGCTAACGATTTTCAAGGCCTAATATCCCCAACACAGCAATCAAAAGAAGGGTCCTTGAAAAACTATCTACTAATAAATTCTGATACCCATGTTGCAGAGTTTAAGTTGTCTATGGTCTGTAATGGTTTTTTCAGTATAACATTTATCTGTCAGGCGAAAAGAAGATGCATATGCCAACAAACCAAACCAAATGCCCTTCCATCTTGGGTCATATCTTCTAGGGAGACTGACAATAAACAAAATAATAACATAATAACAAAATAATAACAGTGTCAGAGTAAGTGCCCTGGCACATAGGAAAAGTGAAGCGCGAGGGAGGATTCCGGGGTTCAGGGACAGAGGTGACATTTCCCACAGGGCAGGAGAAGAGGCCTCACTGAGAAGTCCGCGTACAGACAGGAAAATAACAATGTTATTTATTTGGCTTTGCAATGCACTGAGCGATTGCACTTGGGGTTTTTTTTTTTTTTTAATTCATAGAAGCTTTCTATTTTTTCTATTTCAATTTTCTATTTCCTCTTAATTGACGGACTAGAGAGAGGGAAGGCAGCCTTGAATATGCCAAAGATATTTCTCCTAATATTTTGGTTTATTTCATGTTTTTTGAGAACGATAGCTACAATAAAAGTGAAATATAGGGTTCTTCCATAAAACATCTAATAGTCAAAATGCAATTCAGGTTACAAAATCTAACATTCTCTGCAGCAATTTCTAGGCGATCTTTATCCATGAATATTTATTAGAGGTAGCCAGAGCACAAACATCAGTCCCTAATGTCGTACTGTCTTGCAGCAGTAAAAAAAAAAAAATTCTTTGAAATGATCATCTTAACATAAGCCCACGGAACGTGTTTCCACAAGTTGTACATTTACACAGAAAATTCACTTGTAACATTTCAAAATGAAATCATTTTATAAGCATTTCATGCAATAGTCACAAGGCATCTTCTAACTTGCAAGCTGAAAAAAAATAACAAATGCAACGGACTAACTGATGTTTAAATTTGTTTTTATTTTGAAGACTAAGAATTCTTAAGCACTATAAATGCACCAAGGAAAGCTCAGAGCAAAGTTGGCAAATTACAAAGGACTCAAGTCATCTTTTACGTAAGACTTCTGTTAGTGCGTCATAATGAAGATATTTGATATTGAAATGTACACCGTTTACGTATTTCAATAATGCCAGTGGGCTAATCAGCCCATTTTCTGATTCATAATGATTAGCAAATGTAGGTGAATGAACAAAATAATATGGATTTCAACATGAAAAGTTACCCCTGACTAAATACACTTGACCTATTCCCAAAATACCCGACCCAAGCACATATTTTAAAAATGTGTTCTTCCCAAGAGAAGCAAAACTTTGGCATTTTTGCTTGGGTATATTAAACTTTCAGATTTCCATTTCACATCTGAAAAATAACATTTCAAACTTGGCTTAATGTAACTTTTAAAAATCAAATTGACAGCAATCAGATACTTAGTAACTAAGATCTGAATGTGACAGAGTCAACAGAATGTTAGAAATGAAATGAAAGAAGTATTCCAAGTTTCTTATCCTCCATGAGAAGAAAGAAACATGGGACAAAAGATGCATTTGCCTCTTCTGCCCCTTAATTTGTTAACACCGTAATTCTCTCCATCTGTCGTGCCCAAGAAGAGAAAATGAGTTTTTTAAAAGCGTGCTGAAGTGAAATACGGCCATTTAATCTGGACTTGCATCAAGCCTGTCCCCCGAAAAAAAATTTTTATTAAAAAAAGAAGAATAGATTCAAGTACTCTAGAGACTACAACCGGATTACTTTGCTCGAAAGGCCAAGGAAAGCGGTTACGATTCCAAGATCCGTTCGGAAGCATGTATCTGCAATGCGTAAGCTTTTCGTTGGCAAGATCAGTCAGTATCAGAAAGCATATAACGTTTAAAAGTGGGGGGAAGGTTAAGACAACAAAATAATCAATTCACTAAGAAATGTTTTTCGCCAAGTAACCATAAAATAATGTCGGCCCTCAGGAATCAAAGGGGGCTTTCTGGTTTCTGTTGAGACCATCGGGGTCCTTGGCACGATCTAAAGTACCGCCAGGAAAAGGTGCGCCAAGACGTCGGGGGCGGAGGGGACGAAGATTTCTAAAACATAGGGTGAGACCGCGGTCGTAAGCCTCAGCACAATCTCACCTTTGGGTGAGAAGGTGGGAGGGGAGCAAGAAGTTTCAGCTTCTGCTCGTTTGCGGAAAGGACCCTGGGAGGAGGAGGAGAGGGACGAAGATGCGGTGTCCGCGGTGCAGGCTCGGGATCTTGGAAAAGGATGCGGAGGAGTGGGCGCTTATGTAAGCAAGCAGACACCAAAAACTGTGCGTGCGCCCCCAGCCCGATGCACATTCTGAGCACATACACACGTACCCGGCATCTCCCCTGGGGGTGCAGCCCCAGCCCGCGGGCGCTGTCGAGGACGATGGACCGAGCCTTGGGCCCCTCTGCACGTCCCCCAAATCCGCGCCGCCGCCACCCGGGGCTGCGATGGGGGCGGCCAGGGCCCAGGTGCCCCGCCCGGGACAGAGCTCGGCTTCCCCGAGCGCCTGCAGCGCGCGCCCACGGCCTCCGGCGCCCCGACCCCGCGCGGGACGCCCGGCCCCGACCCCCGCGTCCCGACCCGGCTCCCGGCACTCGGCCTTGTGCCCGGCCCCGGCCCCGACACTTACCTCGCACGGCCCAGACCTCATCGCCGCACAGCAGCCCGGCCAGCAGCAGCCAGGCGGCCGGGGCCAGCGCGAGCGCAGGGCGGCGTAGCATCGCTCGGGCTCCCGGCGCCGCGGCCGGCCCAAGGCGGCAGCGGCAGGGAGGCGCGCGGGGCGCCGAGCGGGGCTCCGGCGGCCCGGAGCCGGTTGCTTCGCGCCGCGGCGAGCACCAGGGTCCGCGGAGGAGCCGCCGCCGTGACGCTGGGCCGCGCGCTCGAGCCGCGAGCGCCCTCCCGTCCGCAGAGGCAGCGCTTCGCTGGAGGCAGTGGCAGCAACTAAGATGGCGGCGGTGCTCTCTCTCGGGTCCGAGGAGGGTACCCGGCTCGGGGCGGGGTTGCAGGGGGCGGGGAGGGGCGGGGAGGGGCGGGGAGGAGCGCGAGGGCGAGGCGCGCGCGCGGCGGTCCCGGGGAGCGCGCGGGACGCGGGAGGGAGGGCGGGGAATGGGGCGCGCGCGCCTCCGAACTCGCTGGCGGGACTCAGGGCGCGCGCCCGCGAGGGCGCGCCCGGCGGGGGCTCCGGAGGGGCTGGGGGGACTCTGGACACTGCGCCTCAGCCCCGGCCGCAGCCCAGAGCATCAGCTCTTCATTCCCCACGCGCGCTCCCAGGCTTCGGAGCCGAGAGAGGGGTACCCCGCGGCCCGGGCCTCCCCTTCTGCGCGTTCCATCCCCGCCCCCAAGGAGTGCAGACCCCGCTGGAGGGTGCAACCCATAGCCCCTGAGCGCCAACACCTTGGCCCCTTCGGGCATGTGACGTCCCCCTAGGGCCTCGGTGTCTTCTGCCAAGTGGAGGGGATAAAGGGGAGCCCGCGGAGTCGTGATAGGGGTTCAAGGAGAGGAGGTCAGCGAACCGCGGTCTGTAAACAGTCAGGAGCTGCGCTGCAAGTGCTGCAGGGGTTCCAGCCCAGGGCGCGGGGTGGCGGGTGCTGCTTGTCCCAGGGAGGCCTTTCTGAATTTGGAACGCAAGATTTCTCCATTTGCTAAAGAAATCCGTCTGTGGCTTTTTAAAAGGTGGCTTGCGTGCTCGCCCTTTCTAGAAGATCTTAGTGTGATGCTCCAGCAGTGGGCCCCTTAGAATTACGGAGATCCGAGTGGATAAAGAGCCGCTCCGGTGGCTCCCTAGAGGGGTCTCGGGTCCTCCCTTTACCTCCTGTACTGGGCACCCCCCCCCCCGCCTTCCCCCGACCCCTGGGACCACCCACACTGGAGCGGTGATGGAGGGCTTCTGTGGGGCGGGCCCTGGGAGACATCATTGGCTCCATTTTGCAGATGAGGAAACTAAGACAGGTCCTGCCGTCCCCAGTTGGGATAACTACTGTAGAAAGAAAAATGGGCGCAACAGGACGGCGGCATTAGGGAGGCACCAACAGCAAAAGTTAAGTGGCGATAAAATATTGATTATCCCAGACTGCTGAAGAGTTATCAAAGGCGAGTCACTGCAGGAGGACTGTCACGGCTGTGTGTGCCCAGGGGGTCTGGCTGGGGCACCATGGAGGGGTGGGCAGCTGTGGAGGCTCGGAGAGAGGGAGGGAGTCCCTCAGTGGTGGAGAGCGGAGCACTTATTTAAGACAGTAGCGGGTCAGGAGCCCAAAAAGGTAGCCTGAGGCCGGAGTGTGAAGTGCCTTATGTGCCAGCAGGAGGGATTTGGACATATCTTTCAGGGACGACCTTGAACAGCAGTGAACAGAGGCAAGATGTGACTTGAGGGTTTCAAAGCCATCTGTAATGAATATGCTCCTCCTCATCCTTTGTCCCTCAAAGGCATCCTCCACCAAAGCCTGAAGGCTCCACCTGCTTCCCCTGCCCCCCTCCTCATCCAGGGGGACTTGACTCCCTTTGGGTGGACCCCTCCCAAGGCACGCGCTTGGCCTGGCCGCCTCTAGGCCACCCCTCCACTCCTTCCAGCCAGCACTGCAGAGTCATCCTCCCCAGGCGTTGCTGTTGCTTCCGTCCCTCCCTGGCTCCTCGAGGCTGCTGTCACCTTGTCAGGCCCAGACAGCTCTGTCAGGCTTCAGGCCTCCCGGCCCCAGCCCCACCCAGCTGACCTCAGGGCCCGCTGTCTCCACTCTCTGCCTTCAGTTCATTCCTTCCCAGGAACAGCATCATGCCGCACACCCTCCTCCCTCTCTGCCCTGAGCCTCAGGTCCGTACAAGGCACCTCTGGGCTGCCTCCTCCAGGAAGTCCTCCTGACTCTCAGGCCCTCCTTCCCCACACCCCACCTCCTCTTAACTGGCTGAGACTTGATAATCTGCCACTTTGTGTTCTTTTCTCCTCTCCACTATTCTAGTGGGAAGGCCTCTGATGGTACAGTCAGACTGCCCTGGATGGGAATCCTGGCTCCTGCTCCTACAGGTGACCTTGGACAACTTACGGACTGTCTGAGTCTCTTTCCTCACCTGTCAAATGGGATAACAATACCTATCTCCTAACCGTGAGATTTAAATGAAATGATGCCTCACAGAGGCTAGGATTCAGTTGGTCTAAACATGTGGCAGTTTCTCTGGCTCTGAGGAGCCTCCTGAGCTCCTAGCGTACTGCTGAGCATACAGTAGGAACTCAATAACAGTCCAGTGGTTTTTCTGTGTTTTTTTTTCTTATTATGGAAATCACACTTCAGAGGGTAAAAGACTGCCCCTTGGGTTCCCAGGGACCTATGAGATTTACAAAACAAAATCAGAAAGGTATAAATAATCTCAGAACTGCGTTTGGAGTCCTGAGGCTGATGCCAAGGGGGAGGGTGTAATGTATTCAATTCCATTAGAAACACAAACAAAAGCTCTCTGGTGTCTGGAATCCTGATCCCTTTATCTTCTCACCCTCCCTGTCCCTTAAAGAAACAAAGAGGTAGATCAAAAAGGTCCAGCAGCAGGCGGGCGGGCAGACAGCCGGTGAGCTCAGTGCCACTGCACACGCCTGGATCTGCCCACCGGAGAGGCGGGCCAGCTGCAAGTCTCTGCCTGACTGTCTTGGAAGCCAGAGAACCAGTGAACTCCGCTTCCGGTCGGCCTGACAATAGCATCGGCCATGTTGGCACTTTTCAAAGGCCTCCACGTGATGGATTAGTTAATTCTCAAACTGGCCCTGCGATGGGGGTCGATGTGGACTCCTGCTCTGGGCAGCAGAGAGCGGCCTTGCCTGAGCTGAGCCCACAGCGCTGGGGGCCCCAGAGCAGCCAGGAGTGGGGTGCCACCCAGGCCTGTCCTTTAGGGGTCCTTGCATGGGAGGAGAAGGTGGTGGCTTTGTCAGCCAGGCAAGGAAGATCTGAACGTTCAAACTCTCAAACAAGCATTAGGTAGAGAGGACACAGAGTGTCCAGGGTGCTGCGTCTTTTGAAATGAGCCCTGCCAATAACCACAGCCTCTGTACTAAGCTCATGTCATTTATGTCTCCAGGAACACTCTCCAGAAAGGACTTTTATTGTTCCAGATTAGAAAAACATAGCATTTGTTCGAGAGCTCATTGCTAGGAAGGAGCCCTGGGATCCTATGTCATGTCTGTCCAAGTCCCAAAGCAGCACCTTAGCCCCTTTGTGAAGTTGCGCCCTGGGTATGAGAAAACGCCCTGCGCTGGACCCCCAGCTTGGAGCCGCCGCCGTCAGAGGTGGGTTCCGCCACCCTCTAGCTGTACGAGGAGGCCGCAGGTGGTGGTCCTCATCCCCCCTAAGCCTCCTCACTTCCCCTGGAACACCATTCCTAGGGCCAGAAGCGGCCGTTAGGATGCACACGGGGGAGCTCTCTGTCGGGAAGCTGGGCCACTCTCTGGTGGGCGTGTCGTTCCTGTTGTCCACGCAGAGAGCCTCCGCTGTGCTTGCAGGCAGGTCAAGCGGCCAACGCACCTGCTCGCCTGACAATGTGCTTGGGAGCAAACCCACTCCTCTGGGGAGGAGGCTCTGAGACACCTGATGGGAGGCGCCGGTCACAGCCTCTCACAGGTACTAAAGCCGCAGCCCCCAGCAGCACCACCAGGACCCACCGGGAGCCCCGCCAGGTGCCCAGCCCGGCCCTGCCGCTGCCTTCCAGAGGCCTGGCCAGGTCACTCTGTTGCCATCAGAAGGGATAATAAAGGATGTGGCTTAGGGTAGAGACTCTGATTGGACAGACATGCATTCAAATGCCTATCTACCTACTTCCTTCCCTTCTGTAAAATTTTAATTTAATTTTTGAAAAGGTTTTATTCATGTTATTTTTAGAAAGAGGAGAAAGGAGGGAGAGAAACATTGATGTCTGAGAGATACATCAATCGGCTCCCTCCCTCACACCCTCGACTGCAGACCTGGCCTGCAGCCCAAGCATGTGCCCTGACTGGGAATCGAACCAGTAACCCCTCGGTTCACAGGCTGGCACCCAATCCGCTGGGCCACACCAGCCAAGGCAATTTAATTTTTTTTATGGTATGATGGTATGTTAAATATTTGCATAGTTCCAAAGTCAAATCTAGAAAGCGAGGTGCTCAGGGAAGTTCAGTTCCATTCCTGTCGCTTCATCCCTGACCCCTCCTCCCCACGTAGATGACCATGTTGTCTGTTTGGGGCTTATCCTTTCCTTTTGGTTTTTTTTAATACAAGCAAATTTTTTTAATATATTTCTCTCCCCTTCCTTAGAGGAAAAGCAGCACATCACACCTGCTGTTCTGCCATCTTGCTTTTTTCACTTACTACATTACCCTGGAGATGGCTCCATCTCCATCTACAAACAGGCTTATTCCTTTTCATAGCTGCATAGTATTCCCTTGTGCGCCATGCTATTGTGCTATAGTAAGAAACAGACAGACATTCTCCTTGGTGCCTAGCTCAGAGCTCCTAACCCTTGGAATTTCCTGGGTGAGTTTTAGGATGGAGGCCTGTCATCAGAAAGACCAAGCCATGACCAGAAGCTTGGAAATTTCAGCGCCACTCCGCCTGCAGGCTCAGGGAGAGGAGAGGGGCTGGAGCTCGGATCAGGAATCAGTCAGGCTCACGGGACGAAGCTGCCATAAAAATCTTCGAACTACGGGATTCAGAGAGCTTCTGGGTCGGAGAACACAGCCCGGTGCTGGGAGCGCGACACGCCCCAACTGCAGGGACTCTTCCCGTGACCTCGACTTACGTGCCTCTTCCTCTAGCTGTTCATTTGTATCCTTTATAATAAACCAGTAGAGGTACGTAAATTATCGAATTTCGACAAACTATCAAAATTGAGAAAGGGGTCGTGGGATCCCTCAGAACTGTAGCCAAGGAGGACAGAAGAGCGGGTAACCTGGGGACCCACTACTTGGGGTTGCCATTCAATGTGTCAAAACTAAGTTAAATTGTCAG